TGGCGAAGAAGTCTGAGGTGACTTCTACGCTGATCAGGTGGTTGCTCACCACCGAGGACACTCGTGGTCGTCGTGTCAGCTGCCTCCACTCCGACCGTGGGGGTGAGTTTCGCTCCGGCATTCTCGCAGGATTCTGTCGCGAGCAGGGCATTCGTCAGTCCTGGACGCTTCCAGAGTCCCCACAGCAGAATGGGGTTGCTGAGCGCCGCATAGGCCTGGTCATGGAGATCGCCCGCACCTCCCTGACTCACGCCTGTGCCCCCCATTTTCTGGGGCCCTACGCGGTTAGGTACGCCGCGCACCAGCTGAACCTCTGGCCACGTGTCTCTCGACCAGAGGTTTCACCGACCAGTCTTTGGACAGGGTCCCCTGGTGTTGCGTCGCGGTTTCGTGTCTGGGGGTGCTTGGCTCTTGTCCGCGACACCTCCGCGGACAAGCTCTCGCCTCGTGCCGTCCTCTGTGTCTTCCTTGGTTTCCCTGAGGACTCCTCTGACTTCACCTTTTACCACCCTCCCTCTCACCGGTTCTTTGACTCCCGTGACGTCCGTTTCGAGGAGTCCACTCCGTACTACGTCAGGTACCCCAGTCGAGGTCTCCAGGTTCCTCCTCCCCCCCTCTTCCTGACTGCCGCTCCCCCTCCTGTTCCCCCGGTACAGCCTCCCCCCCCTGGTCCAGCCCCGTCGGGTGTGTCCCAGGCTACCCCTCCTCCTTCGGTAGCCTCTCCGGTACAGCCTCCCTCCCCACAGTCCTCTTCGCAGCGTGCCGCAGGTGCTAGCTCTCGAGAGGTTGGTGCTGCGCCTGTTCCTGTACCGGTTTCTGGTTCTGGGGGTGGTGGAGTTGGAGCTGGAGTTGGAGATGGAGTTGGAGCTGGAGTTGGAGCTGGAGTTGGCACTGGAGTTTCTGGTTCTGGGGGTGCTGGGGTTGGAGCTGGAGTTGGAGCTGGAGTTTCTGGTTCTGGAGTTGGAGCTGACCCGGTGGGTGCAGAGGACTGTTGTCGTCCGGGAGCTGGTGCTGGTCGCGCGGACACTGGGGGTGAGAGTGCGCCTCCTTCGGGTTCTGGTGAGCCTGGGTCTGGAGCTGGTGTTAGTGCTGCCTCTGGGGGTGGTGCGCCTGGTTCTTCGGGGGTGGACTCTGGAGCTACCGCTGCTTCGGACACTACTCCGCCCCCCCACCCCTACCCGACTAGGCACCAGGCTCGTGTTCGCCGTGCCCGTGACGAGCAGCTGGCGTTGGAGAGAGAGGAGAGGGAGTTACAGCGGCTGGAGGAGCAGCAGCAGCAGCTGGAGCCGCAGGAGCAGCAGCAGCAGCAGCAGCAGCACCTGGACCCGCAGGAGCAGCAGTCCCAGCAGCAGCCACTTCCTCCTCGTGTCTCAGGTTTTCGGACCCTTGGTCTCCCCTCCCCTTCTCCTCCCTCCTCCGCCTCTCCTCCTGTCTACGGTCCCACGTTTCCTCCTCCTGACTCCTCCCCCGCTGTTTTCCCCAGTTCTCCGCCTTTGTCCTCTCCTCCTCCGTCTCGTTCTTGGGCTACTCGTCGCTCCCCTCGTGCTCGTCACTCGTCTCCTGTTCCCTTCACTGACATTCGTACTGCTTTCCTTCTTTCTAGTCCACCTCGTCCGTCTCAGTCTGTGCTTCCGTCTCCTCCTGAGTCGGCCCTCACTGTGTCGCTCCCTACTCCTGTCACTGACTACTACCGCACGTACCGTCCTGTTCTCTCTCGTGTTTTCGCCTCTCTTGTTACTCACCCTCGTGCCTCTGTGTCCTCTGTGTCCGCTCTTACTGCCGCAGTTACTGACTTTGCCTCTACCCGCCGCCTTGACTACGCCACCACGCTTGTGGCTGCTCCTCCTACCAGTCCTCTGGCCGTCGGGGGTGTGTCTGCCCTTGGCTGTGACGCCCTAGAGGGCAGGCAGTTTGAGCTAGAGTTCCTGGCGGCCGCTTCCCCTCATCTCTGTGCCATGCTCCTCGCCCCTGAGGGTGACCCCGACGCCCTTGACATTCCGACTTCTCGCACTTACGCTGAGGCAGTGTCAGGGCCTTGGGCCTCTCAGTGGAGAGCTGCCATGGACGCAGAGATGGCCTCCTACAGATCCACAGGCACCTACGTCGATGAGGTTCCCCCCCCTGGGGCGAACGTAGTCGACGGCATGTGGATCTACAGGGTGAAGCGGCCACCGGGATCTCCCCCGGTCTTCAAGGCGCGCTACGTGGCTAGAGGTTTCAGTCAGCGCGAGGGAGTTGACTTCTTTCAGACCTTCGCACCTACCCCGAAGATGACCACTCTTCGGGTGTTACTACACGTAGCAGCACAGAGAGACTACGAGTTACACTCTCTCGACTTCTCCACTGCTTTCCTTCAGGGCAGCCTACACGAGGAGGTCTGATTGCGTCGTCCCTCGGCCTTCACTGGCACCTTCCCTCCTGGGACCCAGTTGAGGCTGAGGTGACCTGTTTACGGTCTTCGCCAGGCCCCTCGTGAGTGGCACGACACTCTGCGTTCTACCCTCTCTGACCTTGGGTTCCAGCCGTCTTCTGCCGACCCGTCGCTGTTCGTTCGTCGTGGCTCCACACCGTTCTTTGTTCTGGTTTACGTCGACGACCTCGTTTTCGCCACTCCGGACAGGGTTGCTTTGGCAGACGTGAAGTCCGAACTGCAGAAGAGACACACGTGCACTGATCTTGGTGAGCTGCGCCACTACCTTGGCCTGCAGATCACCAGGGACAGAGCCGCTCGCACCATTACACTCTCACAGTCACACATGGTGCAGCAGGTTCTTCAGCGGTTCGGGCTTCAGCACTCCACCGTACAGCGCACACCTCTCGCTGTTGACCACAGACTTACTGGTCCCTTTCCTGACGAGCCGTTTGAGCCTAGTGGTCCATACGCAGAGCTTGTGGGTTGCCTCATGTACCTGATGACTTGTACTCGCCCGGACCTCGCCTTCCCTCTCAGCATCCTTGCGCGCTTTGTTGCGCCAGGGAGACACCGTCCTGTTCACTGGACGGCAGCTGTGAGGGTGGCGAAGTACCTAGCGACTACATCAGGCGTGGGGCTAGTTCTTGGAGGGCAGCAGTCTGTCGTACTCACTGGTCACTGTGACTCCTCTTACGCTGACGACGCTGAGACTCACAGGTCTACTCAGGGGTACTGTTTCAGTCTGGATTCTGGAGCTGTTTCCTGGCGTTCCACACGCTCCTCTTCTGTCTCGACCTCTACAGCTGAGGCTGAGATTTACGCTGGTGCCATGGCGGCACAGGAGTTGCGTTGGTTGACCTTCTTGCTCGCCGACCTTGGTGAGCGGCCGAGCTCTGCACCGACCTTGTTCACTGACAACAAGGCGTCGATCCTCCTCTGTCGTGAGCCGCGACTGGAGAGCAGAGTGAAGCACATTCACGTCAGGTACTTTCTTCTGCGAGAGTTGCAGAGACGTGGACAGGCTCGCTTCGAGTTTGTGGAGTCCGAGGCCAACACTGCAGACATCTTCACCAAGGCGCTTCCGCCTCGTGACCACCAGAGGTGTTGTGTGCAGTTAGGCCTTGTTGACACAGGTTCTAGTCATGTGTAGGCTTGAGTTTATTGCCGGCTTTGTCTGTACTCTTGCTATATATACTTGTGATCTCTTGGACTGGCCTTGTGGCCACTGTTGCTTGTGCTCAGAGAGTGTGGTGACGTTGTGATCCACCCTGAGCTTTGTTTTCTTTTGGACTGGTCTTGTGACCGTACTCTTTTTTTGATTTTGCTAGACACCCCTCACTTAGGCTATGGGGGTGTGTCAAATGTTGTAGCCTGTAATGAGGTTTGTCTTAGGGGGTACAGAAGTTAGGGTTTGTTATATGTACCCCAACCAACATCAATGGCATCATCATTCCTCATTTTGACAGTTTTCTACTGTGAACACCCTATGTGCGCGGAATATTTTCTCCTAAAGTTGCAGGTTCGAAATTTTGACTCGATTTGGCAAGGGGAAATGATGTGCGGTTCTGCTAAAGTACGAGACTCATATGTGACAAGGCTTTCGTTTGCACCAATTCGCTTTTCGCCATGTGCGATTTGCTAAAATCGATTTGGCCATGTGCGATTGGCTATCTAGTTTCACAATCTAAGGGTTATTATGAGCCCCCAATGAATTCGACACTGGAGATAGAGTCGACAAAGTAGTGTATTCTGTGTCAAGAATAATATATATTTCTATATATTGTTTTTGTAACTGCCTGTAGTGTAGATCACTGTAGTTATATAACGTTCTGTTTTGGTGGTGCACCATACTTCTTGCCTATTTGTACTGCCTGCTCTATACTGAAACCACCATCTTTTCTTTCAACTCACTCGACTTCTCTCTAACTAAAACTACTCGAACTCAACCAAGGCTCCCAAGCCATGGCTCCCGAGCCAACTTCTTCCTAGTTACTTCGACATTCTGGTGCCCCTACTCGAGCAGTTTCATCCGGAGGAAATCGTTACCGTAGTGCTGGCCCGTACACACGTGGGTGTATCGAAAAGAAGTTTCGAGGAATTTTCTTTCCGATAACCTTTCATTCAGGCTGGCGGAAACCCTTGTATAACCGGTTTCAGAGTGGACCCCTGATACAAGTCTGAGGCTCACCCTACATTACTATGACTACTCTGAAATTTCATGCAAGTCAGTTAAAAAAACTCTGAAAAATCAGACAAGGTGCATAAAAAAATTCTGAGTTCAGACTAGGTACAATAAAAAAGTATGAACGGACTCTGAATCAGACTCCAAAGTCTGATATCTAGGGCCCTACCCAACACCTGGGGTGACACTCATAACTGAAGGATAAGCGATTAATTTCTAGGAAACGCCTTCCCACAGGCAATATAAAAGGCGACTAAGGGGACCGAGGAGTAGCGGTACCACTAAGAAACTCGCTGTTGGTAAGGGAACACGTGTCACAAGGCTGGCTCGCGAGATGATTGAATAAGCATTTCTACAAACACCTTCCTCTCTCATGAATTGACTCGTTCGAAGGCCTCGCGCGCGATGTAGTAATAGCCTTCGAAGAGGCGCGCCGCATTCCATGCGTGCTCCTCGCTGGCGATATTCTTGCAAAACTTGCAGCTCGATCGCCGAACCCGCAGCTCGCAACACCCTCTTAGCGCGTCACCCGCGACTTGCCTAATGCCCTGCTGCGCGCCCCACCGCTAAGCGCCTCACCAAAGCGCACGATCGCCAAGCGCCACATCGCGTAGCGGGGGAACGAGGGGGACAGAGCAGCAGGTAAGGCCAGCAGAGGGTGAGCGTGAAGCCGGTGACGTGCTAAGAGAGGCGCGCTATGGGTTACACGAGAAGCACTCGCCTGCATAAAACTTGAGAGGAATCGTAGCGCGCGATCGCCAAGCGCCACACCGCTAGCGCCTCACCGCTCACGCACTGCGATTCCTCTCAAGTTTTATGCAGACGAGTGCTTCTCATGTAACCCATAACGCGCCTCTCTTAGCACGTCACCGGCTTCACGCTCACCCTCTGCTGGCCTTACCTGCTGCTCTGTCCCCCTCGTTCCCCCCTCTCCTTCCCCTTGTTTCCCCCTCTGCTCCCCCTCGTTCCCCCCTCTCCTTCCCCTTGTTTCCCCCTCTGCTCCCCCTCGTTCCTCCCTCTCCTTCCCCTTGTTTCCCCCTCTGCTCCCCCTCGTTCTGCCCTCTCCTTCCCCCCTCTGCTCCCCCTCGTTCCCCCCTCTCCTTCCCCTTATTTCTCCCTCTGCTTCCCCTTGTTTCCCCCTCTCCTTCCCATCATTTTCCCTTCTGATCCCCCCTGTTCCCCCAACTCCTACCCCTTGTTTCCCCCTCGGCTCCCCCTCGTTCCCCCCTCTCCATCCCATCATTTCCCCCTCTGCTTCCCCTCGTTCCCCCTCTCCATCCCCTGATTTCCCTCCCCTTTCCCCCACTGCTCCCTCTCATCACCTCCCCTGCTCCCTCTTATTACCTCCCCTGCTCCCTCTCATCACCCCCCCTGCTCCCTCTCATTACCTCCCCTGCTCCCTCTCATCACCTCCCCTGCTCCCTCTCATCACCTCCCCTGCTCCCTCTCATTACCTCCCCTGCTCCCTCTCATCACCTCCCCTGCTCCCTCTCATTACCTCCCCTGCTCCCTCTCATCACCTCCCCTGCTCCCTCTCATCACCTCCCCTGCTCCCTCTCATCACCTCCCCTGCTCCCTCTCATTACCTCCCCTGCTCCCTCTCATTACCTCCCCTGCTCCCTCTCATCACCTCCCTTGCTCCCTCTCATCACCTCCCCTGCTCCCTCTCATCACCTCCCCTGCTCCCTCTCATTACCTCCCCTGCTCCCTCTCATTACCTCCCCTGCTCCCTCTCATCACCTCCCCTGCTCCCTCTCATCGCCTCCCCTGCTCCCTCTCATCACCTCCCCTGCTCCCTCTCATCACCTCCCCTGCTCCCTCTCATCACCTCCCCTGCTCCCTCTCATCACCTCCCCTGCTCCCTCTCATCACCTCCCCTGCTCCCTCTCATTGCCTCTCTTCTCATCTTTTCGCCCTCTGCTTCCCCTCGTTTCTCCCTCTCTTTCCCTTCATTAGCGTCCCTGCTTCTCCTTTGCCTGCTTTCTCTTCAATTGCGTCTTGCCCACAGTTCTCCCCTAACCCTCCTTACCCCGTTGTTTCCTATGTTATCACCCTCCTTTCTCTGAGTTTTTCACCCCTTACGCTTGTCAACGGGAGTTGGGTGTTGGCCCCGTCCTCGCTTGGGCGGAGCCGACTGTATGGTCGGGTGTGAGGGGAGCAGCCGACCTGCAGCAGTGGGTGAGCTGGTCGACGAGGAGGTCGACCTGCACGGGGGATCACTGCACGGGCGCCAACTTTAGGGTGGCGCCGACTTGGGAGTCGACCTGCAGAGGACGTTGAAGCCGACTTCGGCAATCGGCTAACGGACTGCTAGTCGACCTGTTAGTGGTCGACTGGACCTGGTGGTCGACGAAGGAGGGGCCGACGTCGACCTCGACTCAGGACGCTGAGCAGTTGGGCGTCGAGTAGCTGGGCGTCAACTTTGTGACGCCAGCTTCGGGTGGCCGACGTGGGTGGTCGGCCGACGACTGTGCTGGTCGACGAGGAGCAGGTCGACCAGGAGTGCTGGTCGACGTGGAGCTGGTCGACCAGAGGGGATGTCGACCTGGAGGAAGTCGACCGATGGTGTCGTCGACCTAGTGAGGTCGACGTGGAGGTGGTCGTCGACTTGGGAGGTCGACGGGCACGTACGGGAGCTGCTGGTCGACGTGGTAGCCTGGTCGACCAGGTTACCTGGGTGACGAAGTGCTGCGAAGGAGTGCGACGGTCGCCCAGGCGAAGTTGGCGAGCACGACCTCAGTGGTGGTATCCCGAGGTCGTCGTGGCGGGCCAGAGGCAGTCGTCAGCTCAAGGTTGACGTGGAGTGTGCGCTGTGCAGGTGACGGGACTCTACACGCCAATCGGCTACGCACACCTGCGAAGCGGGTGCACTGCTGTCCTGCGTGAGCAACGCTGGCACGCCGTCGACCTTGCCTTGCTGGAGTTCGGTCGACCAAGCCGTGCTGGAACGCGGTCGACCAAGCTGCGCTGGCAGTTGGCCGACCTGAATGCTAGCCCTGATGTAGTCTTGCATTGCCAACTTCATTGTACCATTGTTCTGAACTTTTCCTAGTGAAACTCTTGCCAATTTTCCCCGTAAACTAGCAAGTAGTGTGAGCACAAGGAAAACGACTAAGGGACAAAGAACACAGAGATCACACGAGCACACGTGCCTAGTCCATAACCTAGCTCCCGTTGCTGCAGTTATCTCCGCATGGTGCGGTGAGCGTGGAGGACACCGCGACGTAGCTCAGTCTAGCCGACTTAGCTCATACCGATCGTGTTCGTAGACCGGCAGCCGTGCAGTCACTAGCGTGCGCGTAGGCAACGCCGAGGTGATGGATACCCTGGAGGGACGGTTGGAGGATGCGAGGAGACGCCATGAGGCCCAGGAGGATGGGGCAATACCCTGGGCAGTCGTCGAAGCCGGACTCCGCTCCGTGTGGGCGGCGGAGCACCCCCCTTCTCGACCTGCCTCTCCTCGACCGGTGAACAACGACGGCGGCGTCGACGTGGGCGTCAACGCCGGTGGTGGTCAAGTCGGCAGCAGTGCTGGAGGCACGTCGAGGCAAAGAGGTGTGATACACGCCGGTGAAGTCGGCGGCGTTCAGACGCGAGGGATGCAGTCTTCGACAGCTGCAGGCTCCTCGCATGGCGATGCTGGTGGGCGTCGAAGTGGGCTGTCGCCGATGTCGGCGACCCAGGTGACGGCAGGCGGGATTGCGTCGAGCTACGGCTACTTCAAGTTTACGCCGGACAGGATCTCTGTCACCCCTCCGCTGGTCGGTCGACCCGACATTCTCACCTGGAAGGAAGCCATCGAGCCCCAGCTGGAGATGGCCGGGCTGATCGGCTTCGCCCGAGGGACCGTGGCGACGCCGGGGGAGCACCACTCCGACCTGCGTGCGGAGTTTCGCGCCGTGCAGCTGTTGACCTTCACGGTCATCTCGCGGTGCTGCTCCCCGGGCGTGCAGATCGCCTTGAAGTGGTGCCGGGAGTACATCGACGCTGGCCACCGGGCGTGGCACTTCATTGAATCGACGTACCAGGTCACCGACGACCTGTTCATCGCCCAGCTGGAGGGACAGTTGACGCACCTGCGTATGGGCGACGAGGAGAGTGCGACAGACTATTGCAACCGAGCCAGGCGAATTCTCGCCACTATCAGGATGGCCGGCGCGCAGTACTCCACGGCGTCGTACATCACCCATGTCATGCAGGGTCTCTCTAGCAGCTACAACCTGTTGAAGCGGCTGTCTATGGCGCCGAGCGCAAGGGCGACGCTCAACGAGGACAACCTGACCTCGTATATCCTGCAGGATGAGGCGATGCAGGAGGCTGAGCGGTCGCAGGAGCTCTTGGCGCAGGCGAACTTGGTCACCTCAGCGAAGCAAGGAGGCCGACCGGGACAGCGCGGGCAGTCTGACGGTGGTGGTAGCGGTGGCTGGAAGCCGGCCAAGGAGGTCGACAAGAAGAAGTCGACCAAGGACAGTGGTCGGGGCGGAGGAGGTCGACGTCGGGAGTGCTGGCTGTGCGGCGACCCCGACCATCTCTCCTTCGAGTGTCCCAACCGCAGTGACTCCGACGACGACGACGCTAAGGGAGGCCGTGGGAGGTCTGGCAGCCGTCGTCCTCGTCGTGGAGGAAACCAGCCGCGCAAGGAGAAGCAGTCGACCAAGACATCGCCTTCGGCGAAGGACACCGACTCCGTTGCAGGCGGCAAGGGGCGAGACGACAAGACGGCGTCGTGCTCGCTGGTCGGCGTCGTGGAGCCGACCATCTCTCTGGCGCCGGAGGCCGGAGAGAACTTCCAGGCGGTGGCGGCAGCTGTGCAGGCGAACCCGGCGGTGGTCCTGCTCGACAGCGGTTGCTCCCACCACCTGATGGGAACGAAGGAAGCCTTCGTCGACTTACAGCCGAGCGGCGCCATCAGGCATGTGCGCGGCTTCAATGGGGCGCTGCAGGATGTCCAGGGCTGCGGCACCATCGCCCTGCAAGGAGAGGCCGGGAAGGAGGTGCTCATCCCCGACGTGTTGTACGTCCCGGGTGTGCGAGCCAACCTACTGTCGGCCGGTCAGCTGAAGGAGCATGGCGTGAAGCTGCAGGAGGACGGAGACGGCATGTTGCTCGTCTCGGCAGCAGGGGAGGTGCTCGGGCGGGCGACGTACTCTGGACGAGTCCTCTGCACCAACCTGCGTCCCTGCGCGACGAGGTCGACGCCGCCCACGACGGAGGTGGTGGCTTTGCGGGCGATCGTCTCGAAGACGAAGTCGACGCCGGACCGGATGCATGCGAGGCTTGCGCACGTCGGCATGGACACTATACGGAGCTCGGCGAAGAACGAGGTCGCCATTGGGCTGGACCTCAAGACGGCGACGGACGCCGACTCTCCGTGTGTCTCGTGCGTCGGCGGGAAACTGGCGCAACACACCTTCCCCGACCATGGCTCCGACGCCGACGACGTGCTCGCTGTCGTACACATCGATCTGTGCGGGCCGTTTCGCGTAGCTGCCAAGGACGGCAGCCTGTACTTCTTGCTGTTGAAGGACCGCAAGACCCGCTACGTGTGGGTGAAGCCGGTCTCCAAGAAGTCAGATGCGTTGCAGGCGTTCGTACAGTGGCTGGCGGTGGCTGAGCGGCAGACAAAGAAGTCGGTGTTGATGCTGCGCTCTGACCGGGGAGGGGAGTTCCTCGGGAAGCAGTTCACCGACTTCGTGAACAACAAGGGGATCGTCCATGACCTGACCTGCCCATACACCCCGCAGCAGAACGGCATGGCGGAACGGGAGATGAGAACGGTAGTGGAGTCGGTGCGGACTATGCTGCTGCACATGGGTGTGCAGCACCACTGGTGGCACCTCGCTCTGCGGCAGGCCGTCTGGGTCCGCAACTGCCTTGAGAGGTCGACGCTGCCGCCGGGAACGACGCCGTACCAGCTGCTGACCGGGAAGAAGCCCGACTTGTCGCTGGCACGGGTGTGGGGCTGCATGGCGCAGTTCCTTGTCCCTGAGCAGCAGCGTGGTGGGAAGCTGCAGCCGAAGGCCAAGTGGGGCCTACACCTTGGTGTGTCCGAGGCGAGCAAGGGCTGGGAGCTCCTTGACGTCGCCACTGACCGGGTGGTCACCACGTCGGACGTGGTGTTCTACGAGGAGCTGTCGCTAGCCGAGTGGAAGACGGAGCATGGGCCGGTGTCCGGCCGCTTGCCGCCCTCTGACACCTCGTCGGCGACGCTGCCGCTGCTTGCCGAGGTCGGTGAGCTTGCTGCTGCGGACGTCGAGGACGTCCACACCCCTACCCCTACCCCTCACCCCCTGACCCCTGCCCCTCCTCTCGTGGCCGACCTGCGCGGGCTGACCTCGGTGTCGGCCTCCGGCGATAAGGGGAGTAGTGGGACGCCGCCTTCGGCGCCGGCCAAGTGCATCGCCGGTGGCAGACGTGACGAGCGGCGAATCGACGAGGGATTGAAGTCAACAGGGGAGGAGCAGGTCGGGGAGCAGCAGCCGACAAGGGAGCAGGCTGTCGTGAAGCCGACCACGGAGCAGTCGGCGACCGGGACAGCGGCAGGGAAGCCGACCACAGTGGAGCAGTCGGCTGGGACGGCGGATGAGGAGCAGCAGGACGCCAAGGGCAGTGACGACAGTGACGATGGAGGGGACGCCGAGGAGGTCCAGCAAGGACTGCGACGTTCAGGCCGACTTCGGAGGACGCCTGACTTCTTCGTCCCCGCTGCCTTCACCACGGTGTATGACGTGGACGATGACGATGACCTGCTGTACGACGACGCCGAGGAGGATGAGGAGTTTCCGGAGCTTGACCCCGACATGCTAGCTGACCCCGAGCACCGTTGCGACATCTCGACGATGACGGTGAAGGAGGCGCTGGCGAGCTGGAAGGGCCCAGCGGTGAAGGCCGCCATGGAGGAGGAGATTCGGAGCCTCATCAACATGGGCACTTGGGAGCTGGTCGAACGCCCGCCGGGGGTGAACGTCATGAAGAATCGGTGGGTGTTGACGACGAAGTACCACATCGACGACACCGTCGAGCGAGAGAAGGCGAGGCTGGTCGTGAAGGGCTTCACACAGGTGTA